GAATGAGTATGAGATATTGATTATAGGGTTTCTCACTAAAAATCTCTTTTTGCTTATATAAATGAGAGTATAAGATTCACTTTATGTAAGTGGAACAATTCATTTTTTTTTTCTTTTTCCGATGTGAGATTGTAAAATAAACGGTACATGGAAGCTAGCCAACGGAAATTAGAGAGGCATAATTTAGGTTGGTGAATTTGTCATAGTCGATCATTTTGTAAACTCATATGCATATTAAAACGAAAAAATCAAATTCATTCTAAAATCATGTTCATGTGATTTCAATGTATTTAGTTTTAATAAAAATATATGATCTATTTATAAAATTATATATATTATTTATTTTTAAAAAATAAATATAATAAAATTATGTGATTATAAATGATAGTTTCGTTCAAAGTAAATCAAATTTTGATTTGTTCAAAATATTGCTAATAAAAACTAAAAATGAATAAAAGTCAATCAACTGACCTCTTCTCTTTTCCTCTCCGACATGTGTCTTGTTACATTGTCATTTAAGTGGTCATAATTGTGGAATTAACTTGCATCATTGCATTTGGAGCAAAATATTGTTTTAAAAATATAATTAATTGTAGTCATGTAAGCAAGATGGACCCAATTGGGAGAGATGGGTGACGACCTCCAAATTTCGAAACCCTTTTATTATAATAATAATAATAACATTAATTATTAAAAAAAGCCTTCAAATTATATAAGTTAACCTCCTATTATAGAGGTATATTTTCACCATACAATTTGGTGAACCATCTTAAATTATGATAAAAGCTTCCAACCTAAACTATCACAACCTAAACAATTCACCTTTTTCTTCTTTTCTTGATATGAAATTATCAAATAAAAGTTAGCCAATGGAGATTTCTTAATTGTTTAAAATTAAGAAAAAAAAAAATAGTATGAGATATTGAAACTCTCATAAGGCTCCTCACTAAATAGGAGTTAACTTGGTCGTGGCATATTGCAGTTAGCTCGGTCATACTATGTTGGGCCGAAGTATGTTAAGCTTTCCTCAGAACCCTGCTACTAGTTAGCTCGGTCCAAGCTCATTGTGGATAGCACGGTTTCGGACAACCCAGTTGGAATGTCAGCCGAGGTACACGCGCAGTGAAAGGAAGAACCGAGCTAGTTGGAGCTCGGTCTAGTCTGCGGCTTTAGCGTGGCCATGTTATCTCGGTCGTATGGACATCCAACCGTGGTAGAACCATCTCACTTGGTTCAAGCAGTGAAGGGGGTGTTGAGGGATAAGCATTATCTTTCAAGAATGTGATTCCTAAGAGGACTCTACATGGAGGAGTAAGAGTCCTACATGGATTGTGCCACACGGAACCTATAAAAGCTCACAACATCACCTATGGAAAGGTAACATAACTTTGATTCTCGAATACACAGAACTTTTGTTTATTTGTCTATTTTGCTGACTTAGGTATCGGAGAGGTATCCGGCACACACCCGCGGCTAGCTCACGTTTATGTTTTCAGGGGATAAAGCGACGTCGTACGGGGGAGCGCAGACTTGATCAACAGGATTATACGAGAAGGTTTATTTTTTTCCCGTACAATTGGCGCCGTTTGTGGGAATATCAGAGAAAGAACAAAACCTCTTGATCAAGTTTCTCTCGCTAATTGAATGGCGCACAACGAAGATTTGCCGCAATCCGCCATCGACAGACAAACCCCAGAGGGGGGTAGGAGGCGCGAAGGTTTGCCCTCTATCCTTCCCATGGCGGACTTAGAGCCCTAGCGATAGAATCCCCGGAGGGATGCAAGGGGGAAGCGGAACAACAGCCCCCGTCGCTCTCGCTCACAAAGTCCTGAAAGGCAAAGGCGAAGAATCGACCCTCAAGCTCTGGAGGATCGCGTAAAAGAGCAAGATGAACTAATAAGGAAGATAGCGGCAGACATGGAAGCCATGAAGCGCCAGATCAAGGGAAAAGGGGTGGCGACAAGAGAGGGGCGCAAAGACAACACGCCCCCTCGCCACTCGGAAGATCGTGGTGGGCATACCACACCATTGCAAGCAGAGAGTAGAAGCCTCAGGACAGACGACACTCAATCAAGGACTTCCAGAACTCGTTACTCCAGGTCTGAAAGAACGAGATCATTGAGGTCTTACACTGAGGGAAGTACCTATCGGCCTTCACATACGCACCAGACGGCATCCAGGCAAACGGAGTTGCCTAGGTAAACCGACTTACGGACTGTGCTTGAAGAAAGGGCACGACGAAAGGAGGATGCCAGGGCACGCGACCCACACAGAGTGTCAGCCTTTTAGCGGTTGGCTCATCGGACGCATGGGAGCGTCGAGGTTGGAATGCCAATACCGCACCTTGCCTACGAACCAACAGATAAAGCATTGGCAAGGCTACATAGCTCGCCGTTCGTCCCGGCGAAAGAACGCACCCTTACCTTCAGGCTTCATCCAGCCTAAATTTACGACATACGAAGGGAAGACAGACCCTTACATGCACCTAAGCCACTTTCGCCAGGTCATGGCAGTATACCGGCGAAACAAGGCTTTGATGTGCATCCTATTCCCATCCAGCCTTGGCGACCTAGGTTTAACCTAGTTCGAAAGACTACCAGAAGGCAGCATAGCCTCCTGGGCGTAGTTAGCAGAGGCGTTCGTGACAAAGTTCAGAATGAACACCAAGACGCCAGTAGAGATCGATCAGCTACTCTCCATTGACATGGGCGACAAGGAGATGCTGAGATCCTACAACAGTCGTTATTGGGAGACCTTCAACCAGATAGGAGATTGCCCCACAAATCTCGCCATCGCGCAATACAAAAGAGGTCTTCCAGTCGAAAACAGGCTAAGGGATTCGATTACTATGACTCCGCCCCCTCACAATGGAAGCCTTGATGGAAAGGGTGCACCAACATATTCGGGTGGAGGAGGATGGCGCCCGTGCCAAGGCAAAATCTGGTGCAACAGCAACACCAGAAAAGAAGACTGCAGCGAAGGTCAATACGGTAGAACGTCGAAGCAAGAATGGACGAGGCAAGCGAGACAACGAATAGGACCGAGATAAAAGATGGTTGAGAGTCCGCACTGCCATTACCATGGTATTCAAGAAACCAATCTACCGGATTCTCGGTGAGATACGTGATGAACCTTTTGTCAAATGGCCAACTAAATTGGGAGAAGCACAGAAGGACTACGACGAAAGATCTTGGTGCAGCTTCCATAAAGAAAAGGGGCACCGCACTGAAAATTGCACGTCGTTGAGACAGCATCTGGAGGAATTAGTGGCAGCTGGTCACCTGGACCGGTACATAGAAGGAGGGACACAGCCAGCCCCCCAAAACCACGACCACCCAGATGGAACACCAAACGACGCCCCACCTCAAGGTGTGATAAACGTAATACATGGGGTATTCGAGCCTGAGCGAGTATGTGAGCTCAGGGGAATGATAAAGAAGGCTGAGCACTTAAGAGAGGTATTAAGTGCGCAGCTCACCATTAAAAAGGGAAAACAGAGGCCACGAACGTCATGTCTTTTTCAGACCAGGACTTGGAAAGGATATATTGCCCTTACAACGGTGCACTGGTCGTCACTCTCCGCATCAAGGATTACGATGTCAAGCGAATTTTGATTGACCAAGGAAGCTCATGTGAGATAATGTACTACGAAACTTTCAAACAGTTAAAATTGAAGGACAAAGACTTGGCACCCGCCGTATCCCCCCTGATCGGGTTTAACTCAATGCCAGAATAGCCAGTCGGCAAGATAATCCTCCCAGTCAAAGCTGGAAGCATGACTAAACAAGTGAAATTCTGGGTATTAAAAGTGCCCTCCACTTACAACATAATCTTGGAAAGGACATGACTGCACGCCATGAGATCGATAGCATCAACGTACCATCAAGTCATGTGGTTTCCCAATGAAGCCGGAGTAATTGAAGAGGTCTATGGAGACCAAATTATGTCCAAGTAATGCTTCATCACAGTAAATGGCAGCCAAGCTGCCAAGGGGTTTGTTCAGATGGTAGAAGACCCCGAAAATAATGAACTGTTTGCGGATGTTGGCAAAGCCGCTGAACAGAAGGCAGTGGAAGACTTGGTACAGGTAAGAATAGATGAAAAGAACTCGGATAAGTTTTTTTTGCTTGGCTCATCTATGTCCAGCACTGAGAGAATAGAGGTCATGGAATTCTTAACCTCTAACATCGAAGTGTTTGCCTGGACGCCGTATGACATGCCTGGCATTGACCCAAGCTTCATCTGTCACCAATTGAATGTCCACCCAACTGCCAGACCAATTATACAGCGCACTCGCAGATCGGCACTCCACCATGCCAAGATAGTGACGGAGGAAGTAGAAAACCTGCTAGAAGTAGGAGCTATTAGAGAGGTGCACTACCCCAGATGGATCTCCAATACAGTGATAGTGCCTAAAAAGAATGAAAAATGGTGTGTCTGTGTGGATTACAAAACGGTCAACAAGGCGTGCCCAAATCGCTATGTATGAACCAGACCAACTGGTAGATCTGACTGCAGGACACAACTGTCTTAGCTTCCTCGATGCGTACAGAGGCTACCATCAAATCGCTATGTATGAACCAGACCAAGAGGTCACATCTTTTACAACGCCAAGAGGACTGTACTGCTACAAGGTCATGCCCTTTGGCCTAAAGAACGCAGGGGCAACATTCTAACGGATGGTCACCAAGATGTTTGAACCATTGTTAGGCAGAACAATGGAGGCTTCCATCGACGACATGGTGGTCAAGAGCAAGGACAAGAGTGACCATCTCAAGGACCTAGGCGAGATGTTTCAGATCCTGAAGAAACACAA